CAGCTCGTTTACACACTTTTCCTGAAGATAGAAGAGTTTGTTGAATCTGACGTGACATGTTCGTACGAACCCTTTGTACGAACAAAAGTAGGATAAGAATACGAACATGTTCTTGCATGAGGCCCAATGACTCTATGCAGACTAAACACATCTAATTAATTTGCCTTAAAATTTTATGAACAAATGGTTTACCTCCCAAAATAAAAGTTTTTTTTTTTACTTAAAAACTCCTATTGTAGCTCTTAAATTCTAAAAACTGCTTTTAGTGCTTTTTTAAAGTAAAATTTTATTTTATTTTTTTATTTTACTGGACCAGACGAAGGTGAATCGCAAACTACCTGTGGCCCACGGGCCACCAGTTGCCCATCCCTGTTTTAGGTTATTAGATACCATTTTAAAAGCTTAAGGCAGTATCACACAAAATTGTGTTAAAAATGCACAAATTCTTACTTAAAAGCTCATATAGATGTTTTTTAGAACCGCTTGCATCAAATACGAAGGAATATGAAGAAACTGCAACATTCCTGAAACAGTTGTGTCAAATATTTTGAATGTAGTTTATTCCTGGAGTTATTATTATTATTATTATTATTATTATTATTATTATTATTTGTCTCAGTTTGATTCCAAATTATTTTTCATAATTCAACAAACCCTCCAACACTTTCTGAGTTACAAAAGAAAAAAAAAGGACTCCAGATGCAACAGTTCTGACAATATTTGCTCAATTATTCCCAAATTTAAAAAAAATTAAAAATACAGCTGATTGTTGTATGTTTTTTAGATTTTTTGAACAGATTTTAAAACGTCAAATTGTACGTGTATCTTAATGAGTAAATGTGTGTTTTCAGACCCGGTGGTCATCATGTTGGTGATCCACCCTGATGGGAACCAGTGTTTACTGGGCAGGAAGAAGGTCTTCCCTGCAGGCTTGTTCTCTTGTTTGTCAGGATTCGTGGAGCCCGGTAAGCTAATAAGCTAACGCCAAACGTGATCTCTGCATCCAGTCACGCAGTCGTAACGTGACGCAGCTCCTCTGCAGGCGAGGCCATCGAGGAGGCGGTGAGGAGGGAGGTGGAGGAGGAGAGCGGCGTGAAGGTGGGTCCGGTCCAGTACGTGTCCTGTCAGCCCTGGCCCATGCCCTCCAACCTGATGCTGGGCTGCCTCGCCGCCGCCGTCTCCACCGACATCAAGGTGGACGAGACGGAGCTGGAAGAGGCTCGCTGGTTTCCACGTCAGCAGGTTAAAGAGTTCTTTATTGTGTTTCTATTGGTTAGAGGTTGACCAATAGGATTTTTTAATAGCAGTCGTTGATCTTGGATTTTTTATATTTAAAAACAAAAATCTGATTATCTTTTCGTCTTCAGGTGATCGATTCCTTGTTCAGAGGCGCCAGCTCGACTTTAATTGTCCCCCCAAGACAAACCATCGCCCACCAGCTGATCAGACACTGGATCAGTGTGAACTCGAACCTCTGATCGGATTCAGGACGACAAACCAACGTCTGACCAACAGGACGTGGAGACTGAGTCACGTGATGCTTAAAAATAGATTTTTATTAACTGTTAAAAACAAAAACTCAGAAACAAACAGCAAACATCTGCAAACAGGAGGTATTTTCTTCAAGACGTTTTTACACCAAGGAGTAAAAAATAATATATCAGGTGTTTTAACGACCCGGGGTTATTATAAAATAAATAAATGATCTGTGTTCTTGGATGTAGGTGAACAAAACATGTTGATTTGACTTGGTTTTAACAGAAAAATGTAAATGATTGATGATCTAAAAAAAAACAAGACTGTAAATAAATGGTTTGTCAATGATGCATTTCCTGTACACTTCTTTACAGCAGTGGTTC